CCCCCCCCCGCCCCCCGGAGTGCACAAATTTTTGTGCACCGGGCCTCTAGTCCTATATAATAAAATGCTAATATGCAAATTGACCAAACGGCTGAACAAGCGGTTGCTATGACGTGCACTGACCACCAGGGGGCAGACACTCAGTGTAGGAACTGCCCCCTGGTGGTCAGTGTGCTCCCACAGGTGGAGTGCTGCTCAGCCAGAAGCTGGGTTCACTGCTGGCGAGCGCAGCAGCGGTGGCGGGAGTCTCTCCCACCTCCAAGGCAGCACTAAGGACCCCTCGGCAGACATTCCCCAAGGGGTCCCAGCCACTAGAGGGCGCAGGCCAGGCTGAGGGACCCCCCCCCCCTCCAGTGAACGAATTTCGTGCACCAGGCCTCTAGTTTATGTTATAACTGGAAGTTTGTTCCTTTTACCACCTTCACCCATTTTAGCCAGCCTCTCACCTCTTGCTTGTTCTCTTGTATCTGTGAGCTCTGTTAGTTTTTGTTTTGTTTTGTTTTGTTTTAGATTCTATATATAAGTGAGGTAATACAGTGTTTATGTTTCTCTGACTTATTTCACTTAGCATAATGCCATTCATGTTGTAAATGACAAGATTTCCTTCTTTCTCATGGCTGAATAATATTTCATGGTATCTATATACCACATTTCTTTTATAAAGTATTTTTTTAAAAATTATGCAGACTTCATGTTTTAAGTATTTTCAAAATTTCCCACATTATTTTTCACCCACATATAAGCAAACCTTAAAGTAATGTGTGATGACATAGTGATGAAAGAAACAACTCGTGAGTGAGGATTATTACCAGTTCATCACAGGCCTCAATCACAACCTTGTCAGTGGCAGAACCAGAGGGAGCAGTAATATATGCCACACCGCTCCCTGAAAGGCAGGAAGGCTCAGAGCTGATAGAAACTTCACCAAGTTTGTTAAATCATTCCTTCTTCTCTGCCTTGGTTAATAATTCAGGGACTTCCTCACAGTGCTTTCCATGTTACTAAGTCTTATCCTTGCTAATGGTTCCAGTAACATATTGATCGATGGCATTAGAGATTTCTCCTCTCTTCACTCTGGTGTTAAACTTCATTTAGAACATTCATTCGCCTTATCTCCTTCAAGGCATGTGCAGTGTGTCCGAGACTGCTGTCCTGTGCTTCAATGCCAGTAACCTGATACACGGAGTTAGACTGAGTATATATTTCACAGCAATGGTGGCCATGAAGAGGTCTGTGAGCACACATTCTGGCAAATCTTTATTCTTGGTAAAGTCATTGCTAAATAATGACACCATTATTTCTCCGGCTTAACAAAGACCAAAGAGAATTTGAACATCATTTTCTTTTTTTAAAGTATATTTTATTGATTTTTTACAGAGAGGAAGGGAGAGGGATAGAGAGTTAGAAACATCCCTGAGTGAGATATATCGCTCAGTTGCCTCTTGCACACCCCCTACTGGGGATGTGCCCGCAACCAAGGTACATGTCCTTGACCGGAATCGAACCTGGGACCCCTCAGTCCGCAGGCCGACGCTCTATCCATTGAGCCAAACCGGCTAGGGCATAGGGACATCATTTATATCAGATAATGCAACAGAGCCACCAAAGGAAGCCATCCTATTATCCCCTCTTGCTTGTGCATATGCAGTTGATACAGGTGTTAGAGTTTTATACATGTTATAGACCATGCAGACTCTTCTGGATTTTCATGTGAATGTAATAATATAATGTGTGGTTTTCTTGTGACTGGCTTTTTTCACTTAATGTTTTCAAGGTTCATACATGTTATACCAGGTATTAGTACTTCATTCTTTTTTATAGGTAAATTTTATTTCACATTTTGTTTATCCATTTGTCCATTGATATACATTTGGATTATTTCTAATGAAAGCTGCTATGAATAATTCTGTGGAAAGTATTCATGTGTAAGATTCGGGGTATTCCTAGGAGTGGAATTGTTGAGTTATATGGTAATTCTATGTTTAATTCTTTGAGAAACGGCTAAACTGTTTTCCAAAGTGATTACATCATTTTGCATTCCCATCAGCAGTTTCTTTACATCCTTCCCAATACTTGTCATTCTCTGACTTTTTGATTCTAACTATCCTAGTTTGTGTGAAATGGTATTTCATTTGGTTTTGATTTGCATTTCTCTGATAACTAATGATGTTGAGCATCTTTCCATGTGCTTCTTGGCCCTTTATATATCTTCCTTGGAGAAATGTCTATTTATATCTTTTGCCTACTTTTTAATTGGGCTGTCTTTTTATCATTGAGTTGTCTGAGTTTTTTTTTAATATACATATTTTGGATATTAAGCTCTTATCAAATGTATGATTCGAAAGTATTTTATCCCATTCTGTGGGTTGTCTTTTCACTTTCTTGATTATGTCTTTTGAAGCACAAAAGTGTTTAATCTTAATGATGTCCAATTCATACATATTATTTTCTTTCGTTGCTCATTTTTTTCAGTGTCATATTTAATAATCTCTTGCCAAATCCCATGTCAGAATGATTTTTTTCAATTATAATTTACATTCAGTATTATTTTGTATTAGTTTCAGGTGTACAGCTTAGTGGTTAGATAATCATATACGTTATGAAGTGTTCCCCTCAATATTTCCAGTACCCATCTGGCACCATATATAGTTATTACAATATTACGGACTATATTCCCTATACTATACTATACATATCTGTGACATTGTAATTACCTTCTTTTTAAAGGACTGTAGAATTATCTTGTGCAGCTCTGGGCCTGCTATTTTTTGGTGATGGGGGAGAAGCTCTTAAATATTTATTTTAAGGAAATTTGCCTATTTAGACACCTCTTTTCTGAGGTCAATTTTGATAAATAATATTTTTTTAGAAAATTATTTATTTCATCCAAATTTTCAACTTATCTGTAGGACTGAGCAAAGTAGTCTCTTATGATCCTTTTAAATTTTCCTCTGTGGTTATTTCTTTGGAAACTTCTTTTTATGTGCCTTAAGCATTGTTATTGTAATTCACCAATGAGATAATACTAAAAATAATTTTCCCCTCCAACTTCACTGTTTATGATTTATTATAATTAGGATTTCTTTATTTCTCTGATAATAATACTTTATTTATTGAATTCTTGTTATGTACTAGGCACTTTACAATTTTGACTTATTTAACCTTTACAATAGCCCTAGAAGGTATATAGTAGCAGTATATTTATTTCAAATGAGCAAACTGAGTCAGAGAGATTAAGTAATTTGCCTAATTATGCTTAGATGTCATAATTTTAACTTCTTTGTTGGCTATAAGAAATTTAACTTTAATGCTATTAAATAAGTAGATTTGTTTGTTTTCTAATGTCTCAATCTAATTGCCATCCAAATAAGTAATACAATTTTTAGTTGTCTATGGCAGTATATTCAATTCCATGAAATTAAAGTCCTGGTGTAATACATTCAACTCCAGAATTATTTCAGTAAAGTTATGGAGGAAAAAATGTTACCAAAATTTTTCTTCCTCAGTTAACAATTGTTATTTAAAGTTGTAGTTATCATGAAATATTTACATTTTACATTTGGAAAGGCAATACAACAATTATAACATTTAAGTAAAATTTTTGAAAAATGTAAAAAAGAATCATAACCTCACCACCCTAATATTTTTATTTTATTTCTGCATATTGCCTTTAACTTCTTGTCCAAATGCATATTTTATAGGTACAATAATAATGTATCCTTTATTATGTGTTTGACAAAGTGTGCTATTAAAAATACTTTTAAAAAGCAATCAATTTAAAAATAAATGTTCATAAAGAAAATGTTCTTGCTCCTTTATAGTTTTCAACAGCCTTTATAGTTTAAGAGGTTAGAAAACTACTTGGTGCAGTTGGGAATATATAAAAGCTACATTAACATTTGTTTTTGACTTCTTATCCTAATCTTTCATGTCCATCTGCATGAAGCATTGTTTATTTGTCTGTAAAAGTTCAGGCCAATGGCTGGAAGCTCTTATATATCCTAGACAAAAGAAAAACAATTGTTTTTCTTTAAGAATTCAATAGCTTTTATAATGTTTTAATTGTATTCTTGAATGAGAAATTGGGAATTTGAGAAACAAAAGTTGGTGAAGAATTTTTATCCACATGAACTTTAAAGCTTCTCTTTAGTCAAGACGGAGAAAATGGAGTAAATGTTTATAACTACTGCCCTCTTGGGTTGGTATAAGGCACATGTATTTTAAAAAATAATTTGTACTCATATTTATCTTTCTTCTTTCAAAGGTGTTAAAATCATCACACAACAAGTTCAACCAAGTAAAATCTTACCCAAACCAGTGACAGCAACTCTGCCTACCAGTAGCAATTCCCCTATTATGGTGGTTAGTAGTAATGGTGCAATAATGACAACTAAACTGGTAACCACTCCTACTGGTAAGTTTTCTTGAGCATTAGTTTATTTATTCATTATGTATTCATTGAGTAATTTCTCTGTGTTTGACACTGGGGTTACAGATATTATTGAGACAATTCTTCGAAGAGGCCTTTCTTGACTTCCCACTTCCCTCCAACTAAAAAATGTTCTTTCTCTTTTTGTGGTATGGTCATCTATACTTTTCCTTCATAGCACATACTACAATTTCTATTTACTTAGCTACTGTTTGTTGATTTATTTAATATTGTTCACCTTATTAGACCATAAGCTCCCATAAGGATAAGGGAAATAAGGGACCATGTCTGTTTTATTATATATATTTACATTTGTGTGTATGTGTGTGTATGTATGTATATACACACACACACACACACACATTTATATAAAGAGAAAGAGAGAGAGAGCACGCTCTGTTCTGTAAGTGATTAGTAAGGATTTGTTGAGTGAATGAAAGTGCAGTCCCAGTTCACAAGGATCTCACTTTGATGAGGTTGAGAGTCTGTATTACATTATAGTGTAGTAAGCATTCCTCAGACTGAGGGAGGCACAGGATGACATTATGCCTAGATAGGAGAGCAACCAGGCTACGCTCAAGGAAGTGACGGACAGCACAGAACATTTATTTATTTATTTATTTATTTATTTTTGTTAATCCTTACCAAAAGATATTTTTTCTATTGATTTTTTAGAGAGAGTAGAAGGGAGGGGAGGAGAGAGAGAGAAACATCAAAGTGAGAGAGACATATCGATCAGTTGCCTCCCACATGCGCCCTGACCAGGATCAGGGAGTGAACCTGCAACCCAGGTATGTGCCCTTAATGGAATCAAATCTGGGACCTTTTGGTGCATGGGCTGACACTAACCATTGAGCACATTGGCCAGGACAAGTGTGTAGAACATTTTAGTAATACCATCCTCAATCTTTTCCCTTGTCTATTTAAATGGGATAATAATACCTATGCCCTAAGGTTATTGTAAGTATTAAATGAAATCAAGTGTGTAAAGTCTCCAGCAGAGTGCTCAGTAGCTATTACTATTAATTAATATTAGAATTATTCATTGATATTATTTTAAATTTGCATAACTCTTACCAATTTTTTTGAGGATGGACAGTATTTAGATGATAGAATCTAGATAGTGTAAAATGATACCTGTCTGAAGTTTATAAGCTATCAGCTATTGGCCAGTATGTAAAGGTCTGTACAAACATTGCACTTAATCTCCCTTAGGCTCTATTATTTCCATTTTCAGTGACAAAACAGAGACTTACATTAAGCAACTTGCCCAAGTTCATATAGTCAATAAAAGGCAGAACTGGAATTTGACTCCAGGTCTGTTTGATTCCAAACCCAGTGCTTTACAAACAAAAATTGTGGTAAAATATACACAACATGAAGCTTACTATTTTCACCATTTTTAAGTGTGCAGTTTGTTAGTATTGAGTACATTCATATTATTTTGCAGCCATCACCACTGTCTAGCTCCAGAACTTTTTCATCTTCCCAAACTGAAACTCTGTACGCATTAAATAGTAACTAGTCTCACCTTCTTCCAGGATTTGGTAACTGCCATTCTACTTTCTGTCTCTATGCAAAGCCTGTGCTTTAGAGATACCATTATTCTTGTATTAAATCTATCATACTTCCCCCAAAACTTTTTACCACTTGGTACAAAGATATTAATGTTATGTATATATGATTCCTTATGTTATGGAAAGGTAGCAAAAAATAATATGTCTATACTTATGTATCTATATTAGAGTGTTTCTTTTTTTAAAAGACAAACGCTTTAATTTGAAATTTTTTCTGGTTATAATTTAACTGATTCAAACTATCTGTATAACTAAATTTTTTTTCTGATTCAGATGTATGTTTGTAAATTTAAACTAATTCTACTTAATGTTCCTCCCTTCCTCCCTCTTTTGGATAGGGATTGTATTTTTAAGTGGTGAATAACTTGCTAAAATCATTTATTTGGGAAGGGGGTTGTTGAAAATGGTTATCACAGTGACCTCTGAATCTAATTATCATGGAAAAATTTTTTTCAGTTGAAGAAGGTGTTATTTTAGTCATTTTTATTCTCCAAGACAAATAGTTCTTAGTTTAGGAATGGGATTTCTGAGTTACCAGATTTGTAGGAAACTATAACAGGCTCATTTGGTTAGTTTTTAATTCCTCTTTAGGAAAAGGAAAAAATCATAGAAATAGTGGGGAAGAGTGTAAGATCCTTTGAGAAAAATATCTTTACAGGTCAGCTAAAGTTAAGGAAATATGGAAATAGTGAACTTTTTAGGCTAAAAAGAAATATTCTTGGCAGCAGCATCTTTAATCTCTAGTAAAATGATGGCATAATTCTTTAAAAGATGGAAATATATTTACAGGGTAGCAGAGTACAAAACAGTAAAAGTTTATAACATTTTAGGCAAACAATACTGCCTTATTTGCTGAGTGCTGACATTGGGTTTGGCACAGAGACAGCATAAAACAGATGCACCTTAAAATCTATAACAGAAATAGGTAAAATGCTCTGGCAAGAAAGACAATTAAGTTTCTTTTGGCCTTAAAACTAATGGAAGAAAGGTAGTGGGAGAAGGAACAGAGTTAGTTAACTTTTTCTGGGGTTAGTAATTTGATGCAACATATCACAATATTTCATGTGTAAAATTGTTTCAAATTGACTCGGCTATAGTTCTTTCATGGTGCTTTGAAAACTGGCTGTAAATTGTTACTTAAGTCTTGACACCTTGAAATTCCATTTTCAAGTTAAAGCAATGTAGATTACATTGAATTGTAGTAAAACTGTATAAATTGTCATTCTTCTGTAAGCATTGACAAGTTTTTCTTTTGGCTTTTCCCTTTTTACAGGCACACAGGCAACCTATACCCGGCCCACAGTGAGCCCATCCATAGGTCGGATGGCTGCAACCCCTGGAGCTGCAACCTATGTGAAAACTACGAGTGGTAGCATCATTACAGTAGTACCCAAATCATTAGCTACCTTGGGGGGAAAGATAATTAGCAGTAATATAGTTTCTGGTAGGTATCTCTGAAACATGTACAAGATATAGGTGATTAGTAAGAGGAAGAATCATATTTCAACTGTTGAAAGATTCTGTTTGGTCTCAAGTTTTCTGATTAGAAATCTAGAGCTTTTATTTAGTCTTGATGTTTAGCGATCAGTTTTTTAGTTCTAGTATTAAATCTTCACATATTAAGTTTTTGATCATTTTAAAATAGAAAGAAATAAATATTGCTTTTAATCAGAGTAGAAAGATTATGGCTTACATTTGCATAGAGATTTTTTCATTATAAAATGTTCTTCTATTTGTTCATTTACTTAGACCTCATAACTCTGAGATAGTTGGCATCATCTCCAGTTTAGAGATACAGATTTAAGGTTACAGAGATGAAATTGACCTTCCAAGATCACACATTCTAAATACTGGAAGAACTAGTATTTATTTATCTCAATGTGTTTGAGGAACCATAACTCATAATTCCAATTACTAATGTCACTTTAGCTTATTAAAAATAAAAATATTTGAATATCTTTGCTTTTCACCACTTATAAGGACTGTTTACTTTTAAAAAATATTTTACTTAGATAGTGAAGGCTAATTGTTGATATTTTGGAATCTTACCTGGATTTTTATGAGCTCATTAATTCCTGAAGTAATTTGCGTTGTGGATTCTGAAGTGAAATGTTAATATGGTTTTTGTTTTCAATGATTATTATTATTACTAGAGGCCTGCTGCACATATTTGTGCATGGGTGGGTTCTGGCTGGCCTGCCCCGATTGGGGCGGGGTGGGCCTGGCTGGGGGGGGAGGGGCTGTGGGAGGTAGGCTGCCTGGCCCTGCCCCTGATCGGGGTCGGGGGCCCGATTGGGGGTGAGGCCAGCTGGGGGGAGGGGCCATGGGCGGTTGGCCAGCCTGCTCCCTGATCAAACTCCCGGTCAAGGGGACAATTTGCATATTAGCCTTTTATTATATAGGATTTTTTTTACCGATAAATTTTTTTTAAATTTTAAATTCTTTATTATTTAAAATATTACATATGTCTTCTTCCCCCCCATTGACCTCTTCAATTATTATTATTTTTTTAATTAAAATGATGTAAAAAATCTTTGATCAAGCAAGCCCTGTGGACTTTAACTGTCCACTATTTTTGTAGACTAGCCATATTTTGTATGCCCGAGATGAATTGTTCTAACATTTTAAAAATGGGATTGACATTCCTGGCAGTCATATGATGTAGCTGATAACCCAGGGAGTGAAAAAAAAAAGCAAAGCAGGGCATGGTATTGGCATAAAGTACTATATTTAAAGCTGTTAATTTTGGCTCTAGTTTTAAGTATAAGTGGGAAAATCTAACATTTGCTACACTGAGGAGGGTGAAACTAGTAGGGAAAGAATTATCATACTCCAGATTTTAAGAGGCTATTTTAAATAACACAGTTAAAACTCGTTATAATGTATTACCTGACAATATCTTTAAATAGTATAGAATACATAGTCAGTTAAACATTCTTAAAAATGATAATGTTTTTCAATGGTATGTAGCTTTTTATGACTCTTAAGTGTTTTTCTTTACTTATATATGAATTTATGGCACTATATAGCTGGAAGGTATGTTTAGATATTATAAGGCCTCTGTTTTCAGACGTTTATGATTTAGCTGCTTTTGTACTAGGTTAGAGCAATGCAAAGCAAGCACAGTTTTCTAGAAGCAAAGAGGTGGTCAGATATAACATTTATAGATTTTATCATGTATACATTTTACCCACCTTTCTGTTTAACTATAAAGCAGCTCATAGTTGCTGTTTCAAGTATATGGGTATACATGAGAAGCGTTCTTAAATTTTCAGCACTATAGGATACATTTGGCACACAGTTGAAACAACTCTATTGCATGGAGCTCATTTTGTCTGGACCTCTGCCTCACTGACACTTTTATTCTAAAGAACTTACCTCATTTCTGACTGTTCTAAACTGATCCTTACGTTACATATCAATTTCCTTTATAAAGGTAGTTCTCCTATTTTATTTTTGTTCTCTGTGACACCAGGATTATAGATTAGTTTATTACTAGTTTTCACTTCTAAGCTGTCTATTTATAGTAAACTGGTAAGCCTGGTTGGATGAATTTAGACAGTTTCTGCTTTCACCCATGAGCAGATAGATGCTGGATTCTAGAGTCTGTTCACACCCCAACCCCATACCACTATTTCCCAACAAAGAAAGAATACTTTTCTTAAAATACACTAAAAAATCTAGCTGTAAGAATAGAAGACTTTAAAAAGTGAGACATTTTTCCTCATTGTGGGGAATTTGGAAAATATAGAAAGGTACAAAGAAAATTAAAAACTTAGAATTTTTATTATCCAGAGAAATGTGTTGAAATTTAAGTGTATATGTTACAGTTCATTCCTTTTTCTATTCATTTCTTTGTATAAGTGTGTTTGTGTGTGTGTGTGTGTGTGTGTGTGTGTGTGTATTTAATTTGAGAGCTAATATAATCAGTTTTTCTCTTTTTTATATAATATTCTTTTTCTATTCCATTAAATGTATTTTGATATCCCTTCCACTCTGCTTAATGGCTACACTGTGTTTTAGGTTGCTTACAATTTTTTGTGTTCATTATCAATAATCCTGTGATGAACATTATACATATATTATTATGTGAAGGCCTTACTTTCTTTGTATAATATCCTAGAAAGCAAGTTCATTCTTCCAAAGTGCATTCTATAAATGTCAAGTTTTTCCTTTTATTGGAATAAGCAATTAAATGGAAGGCATGACATTTTTGCAGTTATTTAAGTCATATGTTAATAGAGTCAAATATTTACTTACATATGTATACATAGAGAGGACTAAGATATGTAAGGTTTTTTGTGGGTTGGTTGAAGAATTATGCATATTTTATGGAGATGATTGGATCCTTCATAAAAGAAACATTTGTGAAGCTGGGGGTCCATGATTTTATGCTCATGGGTGAACTCATTATCTTGACTCTGAGGACATTATTAAAAGCCATGACAATAGCAAAACTTGATTTTGATACACTTTTTTTTTTCTTTCCTCACCCGAGGACATGTTTTAATTGATTTTTTAGAGAGGTAGGGAAAGGGAAACATCGATGTGAGAGAGAAACATTGATCTGTTGCCTCTCATATGTGCTCTGACCAGGGATCAACACTACAGCCTAGATATGTGCCCTGACCAGAAATGGAACCTGCAACCTTTGGTGTGGGATGATGCTCCAACCAACTGAACCACCAGGCCAGGGCTGATTGTCTTAATTTTTAGTACAATGTCCAAACAAGGAACAAATGTTTAAGTACTTTTTTTAAAAATTCTCACCCAAGGATGATGATGATGATGATGATGATGATTATCATTTTTTTTTTTTTTTTTTTTTTTAGAGAGAGAGGAAAGGGGAGAGAAAGATAGATGTGAGAGAAAAATACAAACTGGTTGCCTCCCGTACATTCCACCCCTCCACCCCATAGGGGACTGAACCCACAATCTAGGTATGTGCCCCGACTGGGAATCAAACCTGCAACCTTTTGGTGCATGGAACAGTGCTCCAATCAACTGAGCCACCTGGCCAGGGAATATATTCTTTTTAATTCATTTATTACTTTGCTTATCTTTGAGCAAAACAACATAAAACATTACCCAAGACATTATAGTCAATAATGTTGAGATAACTGGGTATGGGGCCAGGTGGATACTCAGGGCAGTGGGGAACCACTCTGTAGAGTGCATGGTTTTCTGGCCACTTTGTGGTACATCTGGAACTGGCTCAGAATGGTATTGAATGTAAACTGTGGTTGAAAAATCAAAAACAAAACATTACCCAAGAGACCAAGATTGTTAGGGTGACCTAAGAATCTGTGATTTAAACAAAGCTGTGGTACATGTACATAGTTGAGTATTACTTGGCCATAAAAAAGAATGAAATCTTACTATTTGTGACAGCATGGATGAACCTACAGGGTATTATACTAAATGAAATAAGTCAGTCACAGAAAGACAAATACCATGTTTTCACTTATATGTGGAATCTAAAGAACAGTATATAAACAAACAAAACAGAAACAGACTCACAGATATAGAGAACAGACTGATGGTTACCAGAGGGAAGGGGATTTGGAGGATGGGGTGAAAAAGGTGAAGGGATTGAGAAGTGTATGTGTTTAGATAGTAAATAAAATTAATTGTAGACACTGAAAAAAAAGAATCTGTGCATAATAAGATCTGGGTTAATAGTAAATAGTAAAAAATAGTAAAATTTGTGTTTTTTAAGCCTACCTACCATAATACTTTTATTGTTAAATAGGAATCCCAGGAATGCATCAGTGTCATAGCCTATGTGATTCACAGTTATTTGCATCCATTATATCTTGACTCGTTATAAGTAAAGATTGTATATATAAATGGGTTCTGTGATGCACCATGAGCCAGATGCTGGGTGGGGTGCTGTGATACATAGGAATGTACATGAGGTGCATTCTCTGCCCTAAAGAATGCTAAGCTTGTGTACTTTCTGTTGCAACATGAGAACTATAGACTGAATTCTATGAAAGCATAGAGGAAGACCTTTTAAAAAAACAAGTAGTACTACTTTCTTCATATAACATAGGTATCACCTGAGATATAGCAACATGCTCACTGGAATTTTAGAGTTTTATAAGTTGACCATTGTAATCAATTATAAATTGTATTCTATCTATATATATAAAAGGCTAAGTGACTATCCAACTGCACTGACCACCAGGGGGCAGACGCTCAATGCAGGAGCTGCTGAGCTGCAGTGACTTGGCAGTGGTGGTTCTCGGGTGATGCACCCCGGAACCAGAGAGGAGGGAGCCCGATTCCGGGGTACGTCACCCGAGAGCCACCCTCTCACAACCCGGGACCTCTCGGGGTATGTTAGCCGATTTCGGCCCGATCTCCGCAGGCCAGGCTGAGGGACCCCACCTGCCGGAGGGACCCTGCTCACTCTGAAGACACCCTTTGAGCTGTGGTGCT